CTGACCAGGAAAACTGAGATTTCTTTCCAATAAACTTAACCATCATATGGATCAATATTTTTTACCAAAATGAAATTGATTTTAACGAGGCGTTCTTCCCCTAGCCTACATAAAATGTGAGACAAAGATAGCATCTTTCCAACTAGAATTACGAACCTGTTAAAGCCAAGATACACATGTCCAAAACTGCCCATCCCCAGCAATCTCCCTTTTTTCCATCGCGAGCCAGGGCTTACTGTAGTCTCTGCCCTTGCTGGACTTCGTGGGACAGACGGCGATGTTGCTGCTGAATATGTGGGCGAAAACGGACAAGTATTTGAGATTAATAATGGTGGGAGAGGCAGACGGTGACTTTGCTGTTTGTTATCATCAAGGCGTCTAGTAGGAGACCCAGTGGTTGATCCTCCAGCTCGAGGATGAAGGGGTGTAACGGCACCACTCTGTATTCTGGAGCTAGGACCAGGACTCGTCATTCTTGGGCTAGGCACAGGGGAACATTCTGGGCTACACCTGCTCTGAGGCCAAAACAGCTGAGCAGACATATCTCCACCAATGGAATTGTTACCCGAGTTGTAACCTGAACCTGGGCTTGAGCACTGTCCAGATCCAAGCAAGGAAACATCTGAATATGGTTTGCCAATCAACAAACCATGGTTTGAGACTTGATCTGGGACAAAGGATCTCATTGGACTTCTAGAAGGACTAGACAACAAGCTATCTGGAGCACTGCAGAGCACTATGTCCCGTTGTGGGATTTGTAGATTTTTCACATGAGTGCCCAGAGGTCTCCGCCTAGGAGATGTTGATAGAATCCGATTTTTGTTGGACAAATTTGGAACTGGCTTGAACATCTCAGCTGAGTTTTTGTTACTATGCATGGACTGATCCCTACACATACAGATTAGGATAAAAACATGTTTAAAAATAGAGAACCAGTGAGAGCATAGTGCACAACAATAATGATTACAGTTCAAACATGATACGTACTAGATAATATTACTTTTCTCACGTCTTGCTAAAAAAACAGTAACGTAATAAGAATAAAATTCCCCAACTGTATAGAAACCACCAAAGCATTGATGAGTTTTACAACCAAGACTTCATCCTTATAAATATTAAAAACTAAGACACTGCATTTAGAGAGAAGAAATAAATAAATAGCCTAATGATTAAAGGAATATGCACTAAAACGTATCAACACTCACCTCGAAGAGATGTTTACTGCTGTTCTGTTACCATTTTCACAATCAGAAGCCAATGGACTAAGAAGAGAGTCAGATGGATTGTCACCGACAGAACTTCCACTAGAAACAGACGCAGTAGTAAAATCAGCCTCAGCTCCGGTATTATCAGGCAAGCTGGAAGCACCATGGGGCTTTGGAAGTGGCAAACACGATGGTTTCAAACTTGCATCAGAACCTGGTCTCTGTGATCCATTCATACCAGAATCAGTGCTCGTTACAGTATTACGGACAGTAGGACGAGGAAGAGGTACAGCAGGAGATCTTTCTGCAAAACTCTGACAGCGTGAAACACGAGTAGAAGGAGATGGAGATCTTGATGGTAATCGAGATATAGCTCCTCTTTCGGATACAATTTCATTACGTCGTCTCCGTGACTTCCTCGACCGACCACTAGACCTGTCCTCAGACGCGAACCCCAATTTCCGATTAAAAGCATCGAGAATACTCTCCTTGTTAGCTTTCTTCTTTTCATCTTTGGATGAATATTTACTCCACCAAGGCATGATCTTTCCACGAAACCTTGAGAGGCAACTTATAACTCTTTCGAAAGATCTTGTTCCACACTACAAAGTAACTATCTTTTTGACCACTTCAGAGATCATACTTGGTTGACCCAATAAAGGTCAACAATTGAAAACGAGTCCCACTTTAAACGCCATATTTTTTATCCCATTGGTGTTTGACCAATACCGAGAAGCAGCTGAAATATCTGATTACAAAAGTAAAACCCAGCGTTAGGGTTTCAATCCCAGCTTTCCCAGAAGAACAATCTGATAAAAGCAAAATCTTATGTTTTGCGTAAAAGTGAAAATAGAAACAGCTGAAAAAATCAGCAAAATCCAAAATTCTAAGATGAACAGAAGCTCAATTTCCTAAATGATCGAACACCCAAGAACAAATAGCGTCTGAGTGATGATATCGAAAGAGAAGCTCCAGATTACTTAAGCGTGACTATACTAGTTTCAAAAATCAATGTGATCATCTTCTACCTTAGCTAGTCGAGATCCATTTCCAACAGTAAACTTCAAAATTCCCACCTTATCAACAGATCTACACAAACAAATTCCATGAAGTAAAGAAACCCAGAAACGAGCAAACGATAAACCTAGAGGGGTTGAAGAAAGAGAGCCATTAAATCCCAATTGCTCAAAATCTACACCCACACAAAACTCGGAGGATTAACACAGACAAAAAGAACCCGAACTGCAAGTTTAAAATTCCATGGTGAAATTGATCACGGAAGGCTTAATCGAAATCTAATTCTTAGGAAATTACCAGGAAATTACCAGATTCCAGCAGCTTAAAATAGAAGCAGTCGAAAGCTCAGAGTCGGAGCAATCGAGAATCCAAGACGCAGGAAGCCTCAGATCCCTAAATTGATGCTTGCAAATGAATAGTATAGACTGTATAAGTAAAAGACTTGTGTAGCTTCCACTTGCAGTGAACTCTCTCAGTAGTGATAGCTCAAGAGATAACGAAGATGAAGACGAAGAGGCAGAAATATGGTAGAGAGAGAATAAGAACTGTGTAGAGAGAGAGAGAGAGAGAGAGAGCGTTCGAAGAAAGCATTCACTCTCAGATTTCTTCTTGGTGCGTTAATCTTCTAGTAACCAAGATAACCGATAAAATGATACTAATTATTTGGATTAATATAAAATATTTTATTTCTTTTTAAAGCTTTTTCTTATTTCTTGAAAAAGACAGAACTTGAAAAAAGAAAAACTTGAAAAGACACAGTTCCGATTTCATTCTGATTTCTAAAGATTTTTTTCAAATGTTCTCTTTTATTTGATGGGATCAAAATATAAACAAAGTATAAACTTTTATATATTTTCAATTTTCAATGGTTTTATTGAATCAACATGAAAGGCTTATCAAATCCGAGAAAAAAAATTCCAATCAGTAGACTGCGTTAATGAATATCATTGTTTTGTTTCTTAGTTGTCTGATTTGATCAGAACGAAAAACTTAATAATATTCAAATTTGAGAATTAATCATTGTATTGATCTATGCTAAGTTTGCTGAATTGATACTTTATTATGGTAATCATTCACAAATATGAGAAGAACATGACTTCTAAAGCATTGGGTGCCGAGTGGAAAACATAAAATATCAATACGTTGTATTTAACTGTCTGATTGTTCAAAACTAAAAAATAAAAACCTTAGTCATATAAAATATATGAGAATTAATTTCTTGATATATGCCCAGTTGATTTTTTAGTTGGTACTTTATAGTAATATTCTCAAATATGGGAAGAATATTAAATTTTTCCCAAATCATTGGGTGCATAGTGAAAAATACGAAAAAGTATGACAAGAGGACGCATGATGTGTTCTAACACGTCACATAATCGATCTTAACGGTACGATTGGAGATAATGATGTCACGTTTGGCTTTTGCGAGACGCGTTATTATCCATTTATTATTAGTGTAAAAGCACATACCAAAATGTATAAAATTAATCCATGATAACTGTTATTAAAATATTAAGGTACGTGTATAAACACGTTAATAATCTATGCACCAATAGATTTAGGAAGATTAGATTAGGTGGACACAATATCAAAATACTTGAAGATATGATTCTCGACGATTAATAGTTTTATTTTATCCAAACCTAAATATTTAACTGCTAAGTGTATTTATCAATCTATTGACTATTTATGATATATATATTTTTTATACGTATGCAGCTCTTCGTATTTTTATCTGTTGCTTTTCACATGTATCACTTTTGTAAATGATATAATCTCAAATGATATATTGTAAGTGATTCTGAACGATTGATAAATGTGGATTATGTGATGCTTACTACTTTGGAGTTTAGACATCTATCGAGTTTATTTCGTCTTTTCTAGTAGGCTAGTATGTAAAAGTAGAAAATTATTTGCATGTCAATGTTATCTTCACGTGGTAGGACTAGGCGACTAGCATGTTAAATTAGGACCTTAATAATATTCGGTGGTTCATTACTTTTCACCGTTGACCTTTGCGTTTTTCTTTCAGCTTGACCTCGAACCTAACGACAGAACTAATATTATACTATAAGGATTAATCAAGTACAATGACATTGACATTGACAATGATATATAATAACGATAACGATCGACAATGACAATAAATACTCTATGTATAAGTATGAACTCATGTATTATACTGTTTTTCTTAGCGTAAGTGTATTAGAAAAACAAGTGCGAACTCAATATTACGTACAAACCGTACAATTATAAGTAAACAAATATTATATGATAATTTTTTTCCATAAAAATGGCAATTAACAAGTTGCTAATTATATATCCGAGTAGTACGTACATAGGCGTGACCCTTAAATTTATAAAGCATTTCCCAAATCAAATTTCTAGAGTGTTGCGAATATGAGATTTTTTGGGGTCAACTCAGAAGTTAATTTTATAATTAACAAAATCGAATTTTGAATTGATTTGGTTGGTTTATGTAATCAATGTATATGTAAACTGTGTTCTTTCGGTTTAGATTTCTAAACCGTTAGTTTATTATAATGTTGTTGACAAAGAAAATTGATTCGTTTAGTTTATTTGGATATTAAAAGTAAAACTAAATCAGTTTATTCAGATTAGAGCAAGAATCATACATGTAATGTTGTTTTTTGCAAACCAAAAATAAACGAATAACTTCATTTTCTTACAATAATACGATTACTAAACCACCACCAACCACAATACTCATGCCAAGCCAGAAACCAATTTAACTTCACGGTCATTAATCCCAATAATTCAACAGTTCTCATATTTGCTCATCTCATTCACTAGTTTCTCTACCATCAACGTCAAATCCCTTTTATGCACATCCATTTTAAGACCAAACTTCATGAACAACGTCAACGACATCTTCTGCTCCACTCGATGTCCTTGAGCCACCGTAAGCCGATACCTGAGCAAAACTGATGCTGTAATCGATTTCATCTGCAAATACGCTAAATCTTTACCTAGACAAATCCGTGGACCAGCATTAAATGCTACAAATTTGTATTGGTTTCGATTTGTATCGATTTCTTCGAACCATCTTTCCGGTTTAAACTCCTGACAGTCTTCACCCCAAATAAATTTCATTCGTCCCACCGAATATATCGAATAAGTAATGTTTGAACCGGCCGGAACAAATGTCCCATCCGGTAAAACATCATCAGCGACTACAAATTTTGAATCTTCCGGTACGGATGGATATAGTCTTAATATTTCGGACAATGCTGCTTTTAAGTAAACCAGTTGATCAACTTCATCAAAAGTCAACGGCTCATCGGTCCACGTTGAGACCTTAGTACCACGTGTCTTGATCAGAGCGGTGCAGATCTCGGTTACGATTTTTTCTTCTACTTTTGGGTTAAGACTAACCAACCAAAAGAACCAGCTCATCGCAGCTGATGACGTGTCACGTCCAGCTAGGATAAAGTTTAACGCCACGTATTTGAGAAACTTATCCGAGTAAGATTCCTTTTTCTTCATGAACCGTGACAATAGATCGTCGTGGCGGGACCCATCTAGTTGCTGACTCAGCAATTCGAGTTTACGTGTATTGATGATCTCTGATAAGTAATTATCTACATGGCTAATGCTTCGGCTCATGTCGTTCTCTAACCCGAGCCGAAGCCATTTTCTGATCTTCCAAATAAACTCCGGCATGATAAACCGTTGTAGAGTGGCTTCCGTGGCTCCGTCAAAAGCCACGGCAAATCTGTTCTCAGGAAAATCTGGCGAAAGCGTTCGCGGATCTTTACCGAACGTTAAACCGCAAATGTTATCGAACGTGAGCCGTAAAAGAATATCTTGAAGATCAATCGGCTCGGCTTGGCATGCAGCCGAATCGAGAATGGGCACGAGACGGTTCTTGATGGCTCGATCAACCCAACGAGCCATGGCTTGGCGAAGCGTGCGGGTGGTGAATTCAAGTGCGGCAGTCTTACGCTGAAACCGCCACGTGTCACCATCTGAATTAAAGATCCCGTCTCCTAAGAGATCGTGGAACGCCGATTGCCAGCTAGGACCCTTAGGGTAGTTATCGAACCGGGTCTTGAGTATGTGCTCCAGATTCTTCGGGTCACACGTGACGGTCACGTGACCTTGTTTCTTAGCTAGGAACGGGATCGGGAAAATGCACGTTTGGTACGTGCCACCACACGTGCGGAGGTTCTCGGCGATGAAATCGTGCATACGGTGAGCGTTTGCGATGAGTGCTGGTAAACTGCCCAATAAAGGCCAGACACGTGGACCTTTAAGAGAACGACGTAAAGAGACGAACCAAATAAGATAGACTACGACGCCGGTAAGGATGATCACAGCCGTTGATCCGTCCATTTTTCGATGTTTCTAGTGTGGAGTTGAGAGCAGAGAATCTGCAACAAGATGAGAGATGACTAGATGTGTGTGTGTGATGAGTATGGAAGACAATTGTATCAACGTTTTATAGATAAGAAAACACAAAGTTTAAAATAATTCCATAAAAAGAAAAGCATGAGAAATTAATAAGGCAACTAAGTTCGTTGTTGATAATTCTCACGTCCAAAAATGTTGGGACGTAGTTGCATTGCATGTGTTTGTTTGTGTAGAGTGTTATGTTTGCCATTGTGCTTGTCGTTACCTAATATTGTATACATTAATTTACCTACATTAAACCAACCTTTTTGAGCTCATTAATCTTAATTTTAATCTAGTATTTATATCTATATTTATATCTATATTAATATCCACAAGAATACGACTCACTCGTAATTAATTTTGTATGCTTTTTTTGTGTTAAAAAATAATTTGGTAAGCTACTACATTACAATTTCACAGTGCTCATATACATCTTGTAATTGACGTAAAATCGATGTAAATGTGATGTAAATTTTATTTCGACGTAAATTTGATGTAAATATGCAATGGTAATATGTTGGTAACCAAACAAAAAATCTATATATATCCTTTCTTCTCTCATTATTCCATCAACCAAAAAAAACATATAAAGACACAGATTTTTTGAGTCTTTGAATGTTTAAGTAAAATTTTTAGTAGTTGAAATTTATATCAAATTTCAAAAACAAAAAGTCAAATATTTGTTTTTGAAATGTCTATATACGATCTACGAAAGTGGATGTATACGCCCAAAAATGGTGATGGGTCGTTGACTGAAGACTTCAAAAACGGATTGGAAATATTCATATACCAAGTCGGCCTTATGCAAACTGTAATTGAAAGCGGCAAAATGTATTGTCCTTGTGTGAAATGCAAAAATAGGAAACATATTCCTATTGACACTGTCTGGCAGCATTTATTGAATAGAGGGTTCATGCCCCAATACTTTATTTGGTATCAGCATGGAGAGGGATATGGTCAAAGTAGTGGTCAGATGGCTGCACGGAGTAGTAGTAATCATCAAGAACATGGGGATTTTGAAGCGTCAAATGATTATCAAAGTAGTCAAGTTCAGGGTGAAGATCATGATAGGATGCATGAAATGGTTACTGATGCATTTCATGAAACACATGCTGATACTGTTGAGGAGCCCAATGCAGATGCGAAACGCTTTTATGATATGTTAAACGCAGCAAAACAGCCTCTTTACGAGGGATGTAGGGAAGGTTTATCAAAATTATCATTGGCAGTTCGGATGATGACAATAAAAACTGATCACAATCTATCTGAAGTTTGCATGAACGATTGGGCAGATCTTATTAAAGAGTATTTGCCAGATGATAATTTGGCTGCTGAAACGTATTATGAAATTCAGAAGCTGGTTTTTAGTCTTGGATTGCCCTTCTGAGATGATTGATGTTTGTGTTGATAATTGTATGCTTTTTTGGAGAGATGATGAGAAGCTTGAAGAATGTCGTTTCTGCCAAAAGCCAAGATATAGACCGCAAATTGCTGGGCGTAAGAAGATTCCTTACCAACGAATGTGGTATCTTCCTATCACTGATAGGTTAAAAAGACTATATCAATCTGAACAGACAGCTGCGTCGATGAGATGACATGCAGAACATTCACAAACAGATGGCAAAATGACTCACCCGTCTGACGGGAAATCTTGGAAACATTTTAACACCGTACATCCAGACTTTGCTAAGTCTAAGCGAAATATTTATCTTGGTCTTTGCACTGACGGGTTTAGTCCATTTGGTATGTCTGGTAGGCAATATTCATTATGGCCTATGATTCTTACGCCATATAACTTTCCTCCAGATATGTGCATGCAAAAAGAGTTTTTGTTTCTAAGTATATTATTCCCTGGTCCAAATCACCTGAAGCGGGCCCTTGATGTGTTTTTGCAACCACTCATACATGAGTTAAACCAGTTGTGGAATGTTGGAGTACGAACATATGACTGTTCGAGTGGTAAAAATTTTACGATGCGAGCGGTGCTTATGTGGACAATAAGCGATTTCCCGGCATACGGAATGCTATCAGGTTGGACAACGCATGGGAGGTTATCATGTCCTTATTGTCTTCATAGGACTGATGCATTTCAGCTTAAACATGGTAGGAAAACCTGTTGACTTGATTGCCACCGTCGGTTTTTACCACCAAACCATCAATATAGAAGAAATAGACGTTTGTTTATAAAGAAAAAATTGGTTTGTCTCCCTCCACCAGTGTACCTAACTGGGTAGAGCTTGAAGCGTAAATAGATCATTGGGGTGGACTTGAAACGGTCCCCGAGGAGGAAATTGACACACTCCAGCGAATATGCCTGAAGGATATGGGGTTCATCATAACTGGCACAAGAAAAGTATATTTTGGGATCTGCCATACTGGAAAGATCATTTGCTTAGACATAATCTTGATGTTATGCACATTGAGAAGATTTTTTTCGATAACATCATGCATACTGTTTTGAACGTCCAAGGAAGAACCAAAGACAGCGTTAAATCACGGATGGACTTGCCCGATATATGTAACAGAATTGAGTTGCATATGGTGAGTAATGGGAAAGCACCAGTTCCTGTATTTCGGTTGGGTGCTGAGCAAAAAACAGCATTGTTTAATTGGGTATCATCAGTCGTGAAATTTCCTGATGGGTATGTATCTAATCTGGCTAAATTTGTGGATAAAGGAAAAAAGTTTTCAGGGATGAAAAGTCATGATTGTCATGTGTTTATGCAACGGTTACTTCCTTTTGCGTTTGCTAAACTCCTACCGGGACATGTTCATGAGGCACTAGGAGGCATTGAAGCTTTCTTTCGTGATCTAAGTACAAGGACATTATCAGAAGATGTAGTTGCACAACTGTCTACAAATATTCCAATATTGTTGTGCAATTTAGAGAAAATATTTCCACCTGCTTTCTTCGATGTTATGGAACATTTACCTATACACCTCCCTCATGAAGCAGAGTTGGGAGGACATGTTCAGTTTAGGTGGATGTATCCGTTTGACAAATGTGATTGGTTTGATCCTACGGTGGGTCGTGGAGTGCGTATTAACAAATTCGGAGTGGCAGATGTAAACGCATCTCGGCGATACAATAAGTTCGAGCCTTTTATACTTGCATCTCAAGCAGAACAAGTCACCTTTGTTCCATATCCTCGAGTTCGAAGTACATGAATTTCATGGCTGGCGGTTGTCAAAGTTGCTCCAAGGAGTATAATTGATGGTGTAGATCTCCCGCCAATGCAACAAGATGATTGTGTTGACATTACGGAACCTGAGGTTGAAGAACATGTTCTTTTCATTGATCCACGTAATCGACAAGTTGAAGATCTCCATGGGGACGAAACTGAAGAAGGTGCTGACGAATTTCAAACAAGCAGTGATGATGAAGATGATGAGGAAAACGAGGAAAATGTTGAAGACTAATTAAACACGATGACATTTACTTGCATGCTTTGAACGTTTAAATGTAACATTTGGCAAATTTGATAAATTTGTTTTAATTTAAATGTTTTAAAAATGAAAGACAATTATTGAAAAGAGAATTTGTTTAAGTGTTGACTTGGACATATGTTGACTATTACGACGAATTTACGACGATTTCTAAATAATTGTCGTAAATTCGTCGTAACATGCAAACCCTAAACCCTATACGTTCCCAACTTACAGAATGGTTTTTTGGTGCATTTTCCTGAGTAAACTGATGTATTATATAAGGTTTTGTAGTATACGTTCCCAGCTTGCTAGGCCAATGCTGAGATCACCACTCTCAGGCATGAGCAAATGGCCCAGAAGCAGGAGCTCACTGAGATGCACGGCTTCTTGGACATCATTGCGGAAGCGGTTCCGCAGTTGGCCACCGCAATCCGAGAAAGGCAACGGCGAGCACGAGGGATCTTTGAGGCCGGTGGTACTTCCGGTGAGCAGACGCAGGATCAGACTTCGGCTTCGATAGTGCAGACGGGAAACGACGGTCTAGCAGCCACGGCCGGCCAAGACGGAGAGCCTCCTCGAAACGTCGATCTCAACCTCGACGATTATGATATCACATTAGAGTAGGTTTTTTTTGTAAAAAAACAAATTGTATTAAATTTTTTCTTTTATTTATAAATTATTTTCGATTTTAAATTCTAATTTAAAATGTTTTTATATTTTCAATTATTTGATTATTTTAAAAATTCATTAATTAAATTAAAATCGAATTTAATTAATCAATTTATAAATCGACGTAAATTCATCGTAACTTTACGTCGAACTAACGTCAAATTATTTACGACGAATTTACATCGAATACGTTTACGTCGAATCTACGTCAAAAATTTACGACGAATTAACAACGATAAATAAAAAATTAATTTTCCTTAATTGAAATTGGTCATCTCTTAATCGTTGTTTAATCGATGTAATTTTACATCGATTTTAAGTCGTTGTTATGATGGACTCATTTTGTTGTACTTTCGTTGGAAAATTTACGTCGACATTACGACGAATAATTTCCGACGATATAACGACGATTTTCTTTGGTTGGTAATTTTACGATGATTTTACGACGATTTCTATTTTACGACGATTTTTCATTCGTCGCTAATTCGACGTAAATGCCCTTTTACGTCAATTTTACGTTGATATGTGCCGACGTAAAACCCGATCTTTCTTGTAGTGTTTGTCTTATTTTCGATTTTTTTTCTTTTCAAAACGCATAAGAACCTGAACCTGTGTCGTGAACTTCTTACGAACCGCTGATAAACATGGTCTAAGTTAAAGGTAACTTGCAGCTTAAGGGCCAATGCCATTAGTGCCACTTAAGTTGGTGAGCCAAAAACAATATTTAATAAATAATTTCAAGTAACATAGCAATAATTTGATATATGAATCATATAATTCTTACTTTTTCGATAAAACAGAATTCTCACGCGTAATCCGAATAAATTCTATCGACTTATAAT